ATATATATATATTTATTTATTTATTTATTTTATTTAATGTTATTAATTAAATAATATGTAAATTAAAATAATTTATTTTTATTTTAATGATTTTTAAAAGACACGTGGAACTTGTGATACATCATTGAAGAAAAATGTGGAAATTTTGTTTAAATTCATTCGTATTTAAATGTATTTCTATTGATAATAAATCTTCGTTAATTTTTTCATTGATGTTTAATAACAAAAAAAAAAGGACGTGATATCAAAGATAAGTAGTTATTATGAGCATATCTTTGAAAATAATCATTTTGGTACGTGTCCGAGGCCATTCGAACGGTTCTAATTATAGATTAATAAATCAAGGAAAGATAAAAGAGATACCGAATCGATCCTTTCGATAGAACAAGGAAACCACTGTCATGATAAGATTTAATGTTAATGCCTTATTAAGGAATCGCGTTTTTGACGTTTGCTTACTTGCTTACTCGCTTACTTGCTTACTTGCTTACTTGCTTACTCGAACACGCAATAGTATTCATTTATTCTTATCATCTTATATCTTCCAATTAATCTCATGATTTCTATTTATAAACTTACTACGGGATAGTCTTCTGTTAATAAAAAAAAAAAAAAATTGTCAAAGAAGACAACAATTTCATTCTTTTACGTACGAACGATCATAAAGATCAAACAAAAACAAAAAAAAATACTAGTGGAAAATCTTTGGAAATTTGATCTTTTAAGGAAGAATACATTTCATACTTATTCGAAAAACGTCTCTTTTTTTCGGTGTGTCTACGATCGAATACGATCGATATAAAGTGCAGACTAGACGCACATTTGATATCTTGTGCAAGGTCGAACATTTCCTTGTGGAGACAACAGTGGACAAGAAACCACGTGTCTTGTGAACGCCGATATCGATATCACGCTGTCTAGTGTTTCCCCATTGAGTAAACGTCTTATTTCTAATATCTTTTTACCAACCAATAAGCATTATCTATAATACTTTTTATCTAACATTTTTATATACAAATTTTCATTTATTCACTTTAATGTAACATTTGTTTTTGTTTTCTGTTTCTTTTTGTGTTTTTGTTTTCTTCTTTTTTCGATTAGATTGAACAAAAAGATATAACAAAAAAATATATATATTGAGTTTCAAGTCCGAATAAAGATAAGATATTAAATAAAAAAAATTTAGAAACAAAAAATTGAAAACAAATATTTTCTAGTATTTTATAATATTAATATAGATTGAACGAAAAGATGTAAGAAAAATTTCAAATCTGAACAAAGATAAGATATTTAAATAAAAAAAAAAAAATTAGAAAAAAAATTGAAAACATATTTTTTAATAATATTTTATAATATAATATTAATATAGATTGAACTAAAAAATGTAAGAAAAAAAAATATTAAATTTCAAGTCAGAATAAAGATAAGATATTAAGATTAAAAAAAATGAGAAATAAAAAATTAAAAACAAATATTATTTTATCTCTTAAAGCACATATTTGAATATTTTATATCAAGGAGAATAATATTAACGATAAAATAATATTGAATATTTTAATATCAGAACGTTGTTGAGTTAGTATAATAATACACACATGCACGCGTGTGTCTATCAATAATTACAAACATTGGGATTGTAAGTTAAAATAATTAAACAATATTTGATCTCATGATTTATCCTATATTATAATTATTGATATAATTGAAATTATAAAATAAATATACATTTTCAATTTTATCAATTTTCATTGATGATATTAATCAAACACACATACATATACATACACTAAATCAATTTTACATCATTCATAACTAGCTCATTTTGCCTTATTATTTTAAACCAAAAGGAAAGCCGCAACATGTTAGTTTCGTTGGTCGATGAAACGAATAGATTCGTTAATATATCGACGTTATACAAGTGTACTAGCTTAACTATATATATATACCATGTATGTTATGTATATCGTGTTAGATGAATTACGTTGAAAATCATGGATAGAGAGAGAGAGAAAGAGAGAGAGAGAGAGAGAGAGGAGACATTGGGGTGAAATTCGAGCAAGCAATAGTGTATCCCAAGGCAATGTATGCGTTGTGAATGCGTGCGTGCTTGCACGCGTGTATGCGCATACATACATGCATGCACGCACTCACGACCAATTCTATGATCGAAAATCAAATTATCTCTCATAGTGGCCTCGATAAGTCGATCGAGTTTATCGATTCATGTTGACTAAGCCGTATCCGTTTATCGCTTAATTATGTTACACAATAATGATAAGGGTGGATCTTTGACAATAATCAAATTAATTATTTTTTTTTTAAATAAATCATCTTGAAAATCCTTATTTGAATAAATACCAATACGTTTAATCAAATACATAGAATCTATATTAACCCTTTGAGTATTATGTACGCATATATGCGTTTGGTAATAATTATTAGAGTTGTCTATCAACGCATATATGTGTTTGTAAAATAATGTAATGTTTATCTTAAATAATTAAATTTTATTCGGAAAGAAAAACTTTCATTATTAAATATAATTTATTATTAAAATTTGGTTAATAATAAACTATTCCGTTTCTACAAAACATTTTAGGTAAAAGTGTTCAGCACTCAAAGGATTAATTTTAATTTTATTCATTTTCATCTTTCAATCTTATTATAACTTCAATGATTTTTGATCTGTTATATGTGTTTGTGTGTGTGTGTGTGTGTGTTTCAACCGTAAAAAGCAATATCAATTGACGCGAATAATCGAAATAATCCGTCGGTGTGTTCTCGTTTAAGGGATACGAACCGGTATCATCGTGTACTATACGTTGTTACAAATCAATGAACTTAAAAGCTTTGATTGTCAATGGTTTATGATCGTTTATAGGGGTTTCCTTTTTTTTTTTTATTTTAGAATAATCACTCAAAAATAAGTTCTTGAAATTAGAATAGAAACAAAACTAACGAAGATTGAAAATTGTTTTTTTTTGGGGGTAATCTCTTTCGGTTTCGATTACGAATCATATTAATCGTTTTACAACCCCACCCCCTTCTCAGATTCCCACACTTGGTCCCACTTCCCCCCTTTCCGTATATTTCATTCTCTCTCTCTCTCTCTCTTTCTCTTTGTCTCTTTGTCTATTTATCGAATCCTTCGTTTTACAGGATCGACACGAGATTCGATTTAATTCGCGAGAAACTGCCAACCGAAATTTCCTGATCGATTTCGAGCTTGCGCGTTCGATTGTGCAAATAACGAATTCTAATTAACGAACGTATCGCGCAAATTTATTCCCAACGGGGGGGAGGGGGAGGGGGTTGATGGGAGGAATATGTCGTCTATCTACAAACCACCGCCGAATCGTCGTCGTCGTCCCCATTTTACTACCACCACCGAAAGCGTCGATCGTCGTCATTCCCACGCTATTGAATCTTTCAAACGTATCGCATTTGAAAATCCTATCGAGGGAAATTTTAAACGATTCCGATTCGATTCGATTTTATATAATATGATTTTATCGTTTTTAACAAAAGGATAGTGATTTTTTTTTTATTATATTATTTTTTTGTATTCGATAAAAAAAGAATAACATTTAACAGTATACCCCCCTATAACACGGTACATTGGTTCTGCGTAATATGAAAACGCGTTATAAGAGTAACGCGTTATAGGGAGGATTATTGTATATATAGCATATATATAATATAAAGCATAATATTATATAAAATATATTTAAAATATATAAATATATATAATAATATATAATAATATGTAATATATACAATAATAAATAGATATTGTATATATAATATAAAATACTATATATATATATATATATATATATCTCCATTTCAAATATGATAAGATAATTTGTTTTTCTTTCATCCCCGTTGGACAAATCTTTCTCAAAAAATTGAATTTTGTGATATCATCATCTTATCGTCCTAAAAAAGAAAAAGAAAAAAA